GTAGCTGAATCCATCTAAATAAGACCATGGACATGTATTAAGAAAGTAAATAAAGTCAGTTCTGATACATTTTGACGTTGAACTGATCTACATTTGGAAAAAAAAGGGGAAAACAAAACTGAGAACGCGAACTAGCTCCCTTCAGATAAACGTAATTAGAAATGCCCTCCTTCATCTGAACAGTGATCTGATTGGCTGGCTTGAGTGCAACAACCTCTGCACAGGTTCCTGAAATATGATTGGCTGATCGAAGTGTTGTTTCAGTTGGATGAAACATGTTACGCTCGACCCCTGCCAAACACCTTCACCCCTGGGTGGACTTATGCTTGGAAATGTTAATATGTCCTCAATGGGTTTTCCTTGGCAAACTAAAGCATTTAAATGCATAAATGTCACTCGTCCAGAACAGATTGGAAAAGTTCACAACAAACCAGTGAGAAGAGTGTGCAAACTAGCACAGGCAGGTTCAGAAGAGGCCACAAGCCGTCTTTTCCCCAACATTCCCAAATAAACACAAACAATCCCAAACACTGCACCTGTTAGCGGTTCCTGGCGCACCTCGAGACTCTCCCCCATTTCAAACAATTCCTCTGGCTTCACAGCCAGCGGCCGACATGAGAATGTTTGTCTGGGAATCTTAAGGCGATTCAGCCCATTTCAGCCAAATACATCTTCAGAAAGGGCATTTGTCTTTGGAGAGTTTTATCGTCGTGGGCCTGTGCGTCTTCACGGATTGGAAAGAGGGAATGTGTGTCAGAAGTAATTTGTTTGTGGTGTCGGCGAGAGAGAAGGAGCACTTAATGCTCGTTGTTTTACATTGTGGGTCTGGCTGCGGCATGTCAGTGTCGTTGTGGTTTGCTGTGCTGAAAAGTGTGTGTGTGTGTGTGTGATGGAGCTGTGGTTATTCACTGCTCAGCAATATGACCTGGATGCAGTCTCTACACTGCGGTATTAGTGGCCTTCTAGTAGTGAATATTTGGGGCTGGATGCTACCCATGTTACAGAAAAGTTCGATTTGAGTGTGTTTGAGTGTCATGAGCAAATGTCCAGGTCATATTTCACTCCAACATCAAAGTTAAAAAAATAAAGTATATTTAGTGTTATGTAAATCAAGTATAATAATAACTGTTATTTATTATTTAATTTACTAAATTATTTACTTTTATATACTTATTTTCTTTTGACTTTTTCACTATATCTTCAAAAATTATTAGAGCCATAATGTTAAAAAACATCTAATTGTCATTACTGTAATACATCATGCCTGTATACTTAAATAAATAACTTTTATAAAAACATGTCTTATTTTTATATACATTATTATTATTAATTTTATTTTACATTATTTTCTTCAAATTTTTTTTTTTTTTTACAAATTCTTTATATTTTTAAAATTAGGACCGTGATGTGGGAAAAAAATATCTAATTGTCATTACTGTAATACATCATGTCTGAATTTATTATTGTTATTTGCAACTGTCATTGTTTTATTTATATTTTTAAAAATTCTTATTAATTGAAAAAAAATATATTACTATTAGATTTTTAGTGTTACTATTATTATTGTTATTATTATTTTAAAAATCAGTATAAATAATAAAAAATAGCACATTGTATTTTTTATTTTTGTGTTTTGCTAATAAGTGATTTCTAGAACCAATTAAAATAATTAGTCATTAGAATTTTGAGGGTATAATGTGTTTAATTATCATCATGTCACAATGCAAAAATTGTAATGATCCTAAAAATAGCCTTAATTTTTGTTTATGCAGAATAATTCATTACTGTCTGATTTTCGGGTGAAATGTGACCTTGAGTTTTTGCCAGTATTTGTGTGATTCACCCGTTTGTCTGGTTTTCGCCAGTAATTTACCACATATAACAGAATATTGTATCCGTGTGTGAAGCTGACACGTTATATGACCGGGTCTGCGCGTCCATCTGGTTGAGGGTGTGTTGTGTGTCAGACGTGTTCGGTGTGTGTCATACTGAGGGTGTGTGTGTGAATATGTGTGAGCGTGACCTCTGCGTGTCTGGCTCTAACGGACCGTGTGTGTGTGTGTGTGTGTGTGTGTGTGAGATGGAGGGTGTGAGTGTTTCCTGTGGGTCGGTGGTTCCCCCCCCCCATAATTCCAGCAGGTCTCAGGTCACCCCTGTGTTCTCATGAACATATTTTGCATTCTTTCCTCATCCAGCATTACCATACACCTTCCTCTGGGTTTGGCCGACAAATCTTTCCACCACTTTGCCTCCAGAACAGTCTGTTTCTCTCTCGGAATCCTTTGCTTTTCCCGCTGACTCAGCTGGGCAGAGACTGCCGGGATTACAGGTTGTTGGTGACAGTAATGTGTGTGTGTTCACTGCTCCAGTTATAAGCAACAAGTCCACATGCATTATATCTAGAAATATTAAGTGCATTCCTTTAAAGTTTATATTATTTATTTGACATTATTTTCTTTATATTTTCAAAAAATACTATTAAGTGAAATTCAAACAATAACTGTCATTACTGTAATACAATGAAATATGTATATATAGTCAAATGTGCATGTGTGTGTGTTGTCTGTGATTATTATTGACATTTTTGCAATTTATTTTCTTTATATTTACCATAAAACACTAATTGTTATTACTGTAATGGATCATGTCTAAACACTACAATAGTAGCTACAATAATAATACATTTATTTATTTATTCAAAAAGTCTCAAATGCACTTGTTTGAAGTTTGACTTGTGTTTGCCTGTGCAAAAACTCTGTTACAATGCAGGGTGTTCTTAGTGGTTGCCAGGATGTTGCTATGTGGTTGCTAAAGTTTTCTACATTGCTTTGAGTTTGTTAGAATGTTCCGAGTGGTTACCAGGGTGTTGCTATGTGGTTGCTAAAGTTTTCTACATTGCTTTGAGTTTGTTAGAATGTTGTGGACGGTTGCCAGGGTGTTGCTAATTTTTTCCACGTTGCTTTGAGGTTGTTAGAATGTTCTGTGTGGATGCCAAGTCGTTGCAAATGGGTTGCTAAAGTTTTCTACATTGCTTTGAGGTTGTTAGAATGTTCCGAGTGGTTACTAGGGAGTTGCTATGTGGTTGCTAAAGTTTTCTACATTGCTTTGAGGTTGTTAGAATGTTCCGAGTGGTTACTAGGGAGTTGCTATGTGGTTGCTAAAGTTTTCTACATTGCTTTGAGGTTGTTAGAATGTTCCGAGTGGTTACTAGGGAGTTGCTATGTGGTTGCTAAAGTTTTCTACATCGCTCTGAGGTTGTTAGAATGTTCTGAGTGGTTACCAGGGAGTTGCTATGTGGTTACTGGAATGTTGTGGGTGGTTGCCGGGGCTTTGCATTTAGCACATTGTAATGCAGTATATTTTGGTCTGTAGATATGGCTTGTGTTACATTTAAGATGAATTCCTGACCATATCTTTGTTTGTATGCAGTTTGATGATAATGACGACTCACACAACATATATGTTTTGAAACACAGACACGTTTCTGTAGAGTTTACTGGCTTTGGAAAGGTTTTTGCCATACACAGAGATAAAATAAATAAGTGGAATCCTTTTATAGTAACAACAATGATAGTAACAGTCAAAGTAATATCACTTAGTCAGCATTAATCTTTATATATATATTTATATTTAGAAAAAGTTTTGTAATGTTTTTCCTTTAATAAGCTGGTATAAGACTTTGGTTCTCCGTTACATTTCCCAGTAGCAGCATTCCACATTAAAATCCGAACAGGAACGTTGCTCCTCGTGTCATTTCGTGGTGACCCGTCCCGTGCTCTCATGGGATCGGAGCTGTTCAAGTTGTCTGTGTCATTGGTTGCCACTTGTCTTTGGTCATTTAGTTTATATTTGGTGCAGCTTTAAGAGAGTTTACTTATTATTATCTTTTACATTCCAGTTCCGGTAAATCCTGTCCATACAGCAATAAGTCATGTATGATTATATCCCTCTCGGTCTTTAATGCAACCTGAAATATGCCATTGCACGCACATGCACACACACTTATACAGCATTACAATCATTCATCCATTAGCTTCAAAGGAATAGTTCAGCCAAAAATTAATACTCTGTCATTATTTACTCGCCTCACAATTACAGTTCATAGTGAGTCTGTCAAGCATCAAAAAATAAATAAAACACTAAAACTGCAGTCCATATGACTAGTGCACTACAAGTCTTCTGAAGTCATATTGTTTGGTGAGTATGCCTTGGTCTTATCGCGTAAGATTCATCCGTACATTTTTTACCTTTTAATGTTTAATAATAAAATAACTGGATCTTCCAATGAAACGTCAGACTTCTCTCTGGTGATGTATGCAGGATGCTCCAATTATTTAGTCCGCTTAAACTCCGCCCCTTCCTGAGTGCCACACCCACACGTCAACAAGCATAGAACCAAGTCTCCACCCTACATTTTTTCTTTTTTAATAATCCATTTCATTCGTATGTACATCACAATATGGAAGAAATGATTTTACACAACTTTTTTCAAACTTTTTTTGGTAGTGGTAATTAAAAAAAAATAAAAAATTCAAATATTATTATTATTCCCACAAATAGTTTTGCCCTTGATATAACAATATTTTTTTATTTATTATTTTTTTTCATTATAGAAATTACCAGGATTTTTAAAAATAGTTTATTAATTAAAAATAGTTATTTTTCCAGATAAAAAAAAAATCACACTTTTAAATGTACTTAACAATAAAGTATAGATCTGATGCTATTTCTGTTTCATCACAGCTAATTAAATTAACTAATTAACAACTAATTAAATTTATGTCTCATTGAAACTAATTCATTATATATATATATATATATATATATGTATATGTATGTCTAAATTTGTCTGCATTGTTTAAAAATTGCTCCAGTACTTTGACGTCACTGATGCAAAAGTCATAAAAAATTATAGATAGTAATTTAGATTATATTGTAATAACTATATATTGTATTATATTAAGCTATAATAATAATAACTTAAAGCTGTTGCATGATTTTGTATGACCTGGAATATAATGGATGTGTGGCATGAACCTTTTATGGTGTTTTTGACCTTTCGAGAGCTTGACGGATGTGTTAACTATGAACTGTAGTGTGAAAAATAGATGCATTGGGAGCAACATGAGGTGAGCAAACAATGCCCGATTTTTCAATTTTGTCTCAGCATGTCTTTTAAGGCAGGTCTTACCCAAGGAGCTCCCATATAACAGTAGCCTTTCTGACTCCGTTTTCAATCAGTGTCCATTTCTGTCTTTATTTCTTCCGCAGGTTCAGGGATTTCTGCTGCTCTCCCTTTGGCGGGATCACGTCCAAGTCTTGTCTTAGGAAAATTGCCACACAATCGGCGTCTACAAGCCAATTCGCTTGTGTTTTGTTTCGTGTCTTCATTGTGGGCTGCTTGTTGGATGCGCAGTCTAACGCTTCCTCCACCCGTCCACTGGGCCAGATGTCTGCTTGTGTTTGCTTTGGTTAGTCATCTCCATGTCTGAAGTAAGCTGTCTTAACCACAGCTCTGGTGTAAATTAGCTAGTCTTTATTATTAGGGTTGTAGAGGTCCAACCCAGTGGAATATAAAGTGATGCTATCGCATCGTCTGTTCAAATAAGACAAGACAGTCCTGCTTCGCATTAGCAGTGTCATTTTCACTGGGACTGTCTTTTTGTTTATTTCTCGTCCTCATGTAAACGTTAGCAGTGGGACACTGGTGTCAGCATTAGCGTGGTCGCGCTGCACGGACTCTCTTGCTCCTCTTGCTGACGGTGGTGAAGCGGAACGGCATTAAATCAGGCTGCTCTCCGGGTGGAAAGCGCTTCATGAAGTGGACGTCCTGCTGGTTGGGAAGCGTATGCGGACCACGGCGAGGGCGCCCTCTTTTGGTAAAGCCCACGTACCACCCAGTGTAGCGCGCTGACATTAGCGCTGTGTAGTTGTTTTCCAGAACCTTCTCGATGAAGACGCAGTCTGCACTACGATTGCTGGCCTTCTAGGGAGACAGAAAAGTCCATGTACACACATGGAGACAAATGTGTTAGCTTGACCATAAACATTATATGGTTAATGCATTTATTAAAGACCCCAAGCATGGACTAGTAGTCACAAATGTGTTCATTAGATTTGAGATTGTCTGTATTAGCTGTTTTCAAATTATTTGATTCCGTGTAGGCTAAGATACAAGATATAGGCCCAGTTTCATAGACAGGGCTTAGCCTAAACCAGGATTAGGCCATAGTTCAATTAGGACATTTAAGTCATTTTTATAAACATGCCTTAGAAAAAAGCATTATTGGTGTGCATCTTAAGACAAAACAGAGGCACTGAGATGTTTTAAGATCATTCAGTGCAAGTTTCTTTCAGTTGAAACAGCTCAGATTTACATTTTAGTCTAGGACTAGGCTTAAGCCTCGTCTGTGAAACCGGGGAAAGTCTGTAAAATAGGACGCAAAGTACTATGTTAATATGAAGAACATTTACATATTGATTTTTCACAGGTGATTTACTCATATTTTAAATTACACATTACATTGTGTTTTAGGGTTATACAAAATGTCTTTGAACTGTTATTATGCAGATTTTTTTTCTTACAGTGCATTTCTGTTACTTCTGCTGTATTGACAAAGTTGCCGGTTATCAAACTGTTTAGTGTACAAAAGCTATGAGTGCTAATATATTTAAATAATTCAAATAATAATAATAATTCCTTAATTCCACAGGTTTCAAAAATTTAATTTTTACTAATTCATAACTACATGATTTTTAGTTTTTGTATTACTCTTTGCTAATGTTTTATTATTTTATTAATAATAATAATAATATTAAAATTGTGTGACTCCACAAGTTTCAGTAATTTTCCAGTTCTTTTATTTATTTACTTATTTATTGTTTACTCAAAACAGCAATTGTTTAGCAAAATATTTTAGTGCTTGCCATAACTAGAAAAATATATAAGCATTATAAAAATTTCCATGACTCTTCCAGGTCTACAAATCACACATTTAAAATTCGCACATGAACAAAATAAATAGGAATTGGTTGTTTTAAATGAGCTGTTTTACTTCATTTTAAAGCATATTTTGATAAAATATTGTTACCAAGAAACATATTTTGTCTTATTTTAAAGGGATAGTCCCCCTAACAATGAAAAATCTGCATAATTTATTCACCCTCATGTTATTTCTAAACCTGTATGACTGACCGACTACTGTGGAGCACAAAAAAAACAGATATTTTGAAGGATGTTTGTTACCAAATAGCTTCGGGTCCCATTGGCTTCCATAGCATTTTTGTCCATATTATGGAACTCAATGGAACATGATAGCATTGGTTGGTACCACCATTTTTCAAAATATCTTCTTTTATGTTCCACAGAAGAAGAAAAAATGGCTACTTCTAAAATGTGGCAAGTTCTGTATATATGTCCTGCCTCAACTTTGTTTTAATAGGTGAAACAGGAAAGAAAGGAAGTGAAAGAAGTCCGCAGTGAAGTTCACCTTGCCTACGAGTTTCCCTCTGCGGTTCATACACAGGTAATAATTGGTTTCCTTCCCTCGGATTCGCACCTGGCTGCCGAAGGTGTCTGCCTCCACTACGAGCTGGGCTTATGAAGAGACAGGCAGAGAGACAGACAGACGTTACTAAAATATCACCATGAGCCCCGGTTGTGTATTGACGTAAAAAAAAAAAAATTATTATTATTAGCTCAGAATTGCAATTTCTACGTGACCATCTTTTTAATGCTTGAGATAACTATAAAAATGTATACATATTTCCAGGACTTTGAAAAATATTTTATTAATTTTCATGACTTTTCCAGGTCTAGAATCACAATTGGTAAATTCCCGCATAAATTCAAGACTGTAGAAATTCTGGCTCTTAAATATAAATGTAAGTTGTTGACCAAAATAAACAGAAATATGATTTTTAGTTGTTTTACCTAACTTTTAATCATAATTTGATCAAATATATAAAATGTATATGTGCTACATTTTTGTTACATGACTTCATTACAGTTTTTAATTTGGCATCCAATTAGCAAGCAAATATGACTTCTTTTTTTATATCCAAATTTCTATACAAATGTCTTAATTTCTCCCAATCAAACAATGAGTCAAGACAGGTGTTAAAAAAGTTGGCCTTATTTCCAGTTCATTCTTCATCTTGAAAATGAAAGGTCGAACGGAGCTCATTGCATTTTGGGATACATTTTGGCAATGGTGGGTCAACCAGATTTACAATATGCATATTGTATGCTGCAGAAATAATATGAGTTTTAATATGCTATTCTGAACCGCCTCTCTGTCACTGCATTTTAAAAGCCTCCAGATACAGTTTACTGTCAGCTTTCAATGAGGTCATTCAGCCTGTGTGTGTGTGTGTGTGTGTGTGTGTGTGTGTGTGTTTGGCAGTTGAAGCTCTGAAATGGCTCTTGCGTGACTTTTATGAGGTCAGGGGTCACCAGAGATCAATAACCTCTTTGTCGTCCTCCAATCTCTCCTCATCCAGACATCCCTCACTGGCTGTGCAAATACATTCATCCTCACCCCCTTCCCATCTTCCCGTCTTTCTCTTCCCTTTATTTCCTGATGAGGAGAGTTGATCACAAAACCTCAAGCTCTCTGGAAGCTTTCAGAATAATATTTTCACAATAGAGAATGAAAGAATTATGAGGGTGAATCTCGCAAAACCTGTCAAGATCATGTCCAGGTCACATATTCTTACAGGAAATGAGTAAGAAATTATATCTTACATAAATAAAACAAAGCCGGTTTTAGGACCATTAAGATTTTCTGAATTCTAATGTTATGAGAATTAATCCCATTTCAGGACATATTCTCATTCAGTTGCTTTGACATATTAGTTTTGTATTTCCCATTATCATTTTAATTTTAGTTAAACTTTTAGTTTTTTATTATTATTGTTGTTGTTTAATGTCTATATTATGTTCATTTTTATTAATATCTTCGATATTTTATTAAATGAAAATGATAAATGTTACTTTGGAAATTAGCTATATAAACTAAGTTTAAGTTTTTTATATTTAATTTTATTTCAGCTTTTATTTTATTTAAATATTTTTAAATATTTTATTTATTTTATTTCAAGTGATGAGTATTTTTATTGTTTTCATTTTAGTTTTAATTAACTATAATAACCCTACTATAGTAATAAAAAAAAATATATATATATATATATATAT